AAAAATAAAGCAAAAAAAGGGCCACGCCTTTGACCATTGGACGATGACGCGCGTTAATAGCTTTGTCGTGGTGTCAAGCTACAGCTATAGTTATAGCTAGAGCTAAGAATGCTTCAGGCATGAGACGTGTGCGCTTATATATCGCGATGATTCGACGTTATAGTAGAATATGTAAAATGCGGCCGGTAGCCTCATTCAATTCAGTGCCGACATTTTAAAGCTAGTAGTCACATCACCCGAACCGAAACGCAAGAAATGACGTCCTACAGTTTTCTAAAATTAACCAGAGGGGACTCAGGCGCTTTGATCGTTCAGCGACCATGGTAATGATGGGTAGTACACGGATTTGCCTATATTCTTCGCATACCCGCAGGCGGCGAATCGTTGTTGTGGCTTCGTTTATTGCTGTGTTTTCGTTCTGTTTCGAAGAAAAAAAAATGAAACCTTTTGAACTTCGGGACCCGATTAAAAAAGGTAACCCTAAAAGAAGAAGGTGGTGAAGCGCGACCACCGAACACTTGAAGATTTTTTTTTTCTTTTTGTGAGAAAACAGCTCCTAGCCACACGAGCACACATGGAGTCAAAAGTACAAAGATTAGACGTGTACTACCCATCATTCCCATGCTCGCTGAATCACCGTGTGTTGCAACTCCCGTAGCGCCAGAGTTCCGTCTAGTGTATATTTACGAAACTCTATGCGTCATACCACCCCATGCAGTTTGAATGAAACAAAAGCTTCTGCCTGTACTACATAAGTATTGGTGTTCCTCTTGTTAGTGATTGGCCCTTGTCACAGAGGGGGCAGTAACTTACGCCATGCTGTTTTCCTATTTCTACTATTTCAGCGTTACTGCTACCAGTACCGGAGCCGACAGCGACGTGCCAATATACCAATGATTTCATATAAAGCGTTTCTGCTCCCTTCACGCGGCTCCAAGCTTCTGAGGTGCAAATAGGCTCCCGATGTCTCAGACGAACTCTAGCGGTAGTCGGTTAGTTGTGACAGCTTATGGAAGTGCATCGGAAACACGGACAGGCAAGGGGAAAAAACCTCACAGGTTCCCTTAAGCATTTGTCTAAGAAGACTCGAAGGCGAAAGCCACATGGTTCATTAAGAATTCGCCTATAAGGCTACTGGAAAGTGCAATCCATCGTCTTTTATCTTCCCCTTTTTCACGAGAGTATACTCTATTCATTCCGAAAATTGGGCCGATTTGTGACTTTACGACAACGTCCTAGGCTGACCTCATAGTACATTGATGTCATGTTACTTTTGGTACACCGACTGCACGTACCCACTTGAGTACCACGTGACTTTCAACCGACCTTTTCTATTTGCGTTTTCGTTAGGTGAAGCAGCTTATGGCGGTGTTCATTCCTGTAGTATGCGACGTGGCCATTGCTGCGCATGAGCAACAGCTTGCTCAAGCACTGCCAGAACGTTCTCACACGCTAGCACGTTCAGGCCTGTTTAAAGGGCTTGGTAAGACGCTGTGGTCCCTCCCCGGCCTTAACCCTAGTTCACACTGAAGCAACCGCATTCTACAGTCGAAACGCAGCGTCCTTCGCACTGGACGCACTCGGCGCCGCCGAATATGCTATCTACGATGGGGCGAACGCCAGATGGATACGCTGGCACCCGGTTGTTGTCGCAGCTCGTAAACGCCACTACGCTATCCGGTGGTCAATAAGGATGATTCTCGTACGCAGGAAGCAAGAAGAATCAGTACTGCTTACTTTACTGGCAAGTCGCTGTCTTGTTAATGCATGAAGAGCAGAAAAAACCGCCGACGCCAGCGGCGTTGGTGGGTTCGTCTTGCTCTGCAAAACCACGACAAGCTCGGTCACGCCAACGAAGAGCTCGGTCACCTCTTCCACGAAATAGGGACGTGAAGTAGGCACAAAGTGGGTTAAACTCCCGTTGGTTACCGCATTCAATTACGTGCACTGCGCGTCGCAAGTGAGTAGGGCTTGGCCGCCGTTCTTCTTAATTCCTTGACTAGCACTCCTATTAGCTCGCGGCGACCGATTCGGCGCCAAGCGCAGGAAAAATCGATCCGAGAGCGATCAGCGCGGTGAGAGCCCTTTCGGCGGATCTCACCGCCACCGAATCGGATTAGGCACACTTTCGGCGGCCGGAATGCTCCGTGCGAACTCGCCATTACACATGCACTTTCAGCAATCATGTGATGGCGTCGGCGGTGAACGAGATTCTGCAGACGCTTGATCAGTGCTCCGGCGTGGCGTTGCGATGAGCCCGCGTTAAGTAAAGGGGGGGGGGGGGGGTAGGCGTTGAGGAGGTGCACCTCCCCCCTCCGACACCCCTCAACTATACAACCACTCGGGCTTCACAGTGCCAGCATTGCGTTTTCTTCTCTCTTACTTTCGACGGGTGAAAGGCAGCCTTGAAGGCATCGATGACCACTGAGCGGCGTCGTGTTTGATGAACGAGTCCGGAGCACCCTCTCTTGACTCGAATTCGCCCTTGCCGCCGACGTCGACGTTGTCCGGCGGGGGTGCCGCTACGCGGAAGAGCCCGTTGCGGTGAGAGAAGTAGGGGAGAGTTTAAGACATGCACGGCCGGAAGTGAGAGTGGGAAAGAAAAGAAAGCGCGCACAACAAGAAGGAGAGTGATCACTGCATCTGGATCGTCCCCGCCTTTTTGCATGCATCGCCCGGCCAACACGCGGCCGCATCGGCGCGGCCCGTATAAAAGGGTCTGCCGGCTCTCGGTCTGGACACAAGCGGTCTCACCACCGCAGCAGCAGCACCCAGTGTTATAAGCTCTTAAGCGGCGGCAAGAAGCAGCAGCGTTACAAAGCCATGTGGAAGGTGAGCCGCCGCCCCCCTCGGCGTCCCGCACAAGCTCGGTGGACTCGTACGGCAGGTCCCCTCCCGGAGCAATACCCCAGGACTATCGGATGCATACACGGGGGCCTGCCTACCTGCCTGCCGTTTTGCGGGTCGGGGAGACAGTTCAGCGATGCGACAACGTGATGCAGAGGAAGGGATAGATAGCTATACAACTTTCGGTGACTAACGTCACAAACAGCTATAGTCTGATAGTATGCAGAGTAACTGTCTTCAGCAAGACAACTATCTTATGGATAGAACTAACTACCGAATATTGTATCGCAGTTAACCATGCAGAGTAGTTTGGCATGCTACTCAGCTAAAAAGCTTTCGGTTACGAACGTTAAAAACAGCTATAGCGGCATCGTGTGAACAGTATATGTCTTCAACAACAAATTTGTATTATGGATAGAGTCTATAATGCAGAGTACTGCATTTTAGTCAAATGTGTAGAAGAGCATGATATGCTACATGAATAAGATGCCTCCGGTTGTGAAAGTCACAAGCAGTTAGTGCTGTAGTGCAGAGTAACAGCACTAAACGAAGAACTAGCTGACTTTGAGAGCCTTTACTGAGGGCTATTCAAGTTAGGTTAACAATGCGCAGAATAGCTACGGATTCTAAAATAATATGTGACCCAGTAACAACCTACGTCCTCTGAAGGTGCGTTATATAGTCAAAGTTATGGTAAAGAAGCCTATAGCTCAGCCGCTAGTGTAATGTCAAGATCTCTCACATTTTCCCTGCAGTTCAACCATGAAAATCTGCTTGCATTAGACACACCTAACTTGACCAGCAGCTACATTTTAGTTCGTTGCAAGCGTCGTAGTTAAAGCTACTAATGCAAAACGGAAGAACAGCTGTTAGAATTGATTCTAGTCAAGAACTCTCAATATCGTTTCACAGTTTGGAGTAGCCATGAGAAACTCGCGATGCTTACTCGATAGCAGTGAAGACACTGCCATTCATGGTATGGGCCGTTTTTTTCCCCAGGCTCTCAGTAGCCAGCTTGCATTGAGCAGTAGCCAACATATGAATGATGTGCACCAACCAGATTCAAACGTATAGGCTTCTGGATAATCACTACAAATAATTGGTAGCTAACAGCCTTCCCCGACAGCCACGGATACATTGGCAAGCCCAATCTCGAACATGTCCAGTGGAAATAGTCTGAACAGGCAGCGTTAGGATGAATAGGGATACATTTAATTTCACATATATGCGAACGACAGAGGTAGACGTCATATCTTTTGTGGGAAAATACACAACGCATGTCTACGTTTAGGCAGAATTGTCGTTGGTGAAAAGCCCACATGCTGGCTATGGAGTGCGTTGAGAATAGTGACAACGATCATGACCCCAGCTTGTTACAGTCCAGCATAGATTCGTCAACATGCCTATAGACGACCAAGCAAATTCAAAAGTTACCCCAACGAACGCAATTAAAAGTTATATGTTTCATACCCGTTTAAAGCTGCGACAAGGGCTTTATATGAGCTAAGCCATACCAAGGAAAAGCAACAGCCAGACATTGACTCACGTGATATTTAGGGTCATGTGTCATAACTATGCGTGGCTTATGCCCGATGTTATACAATTTATTGATTGATATGTGTGGTTTAACGTCTAAAATACACAATGTGAATATGAGAGCCACCATAGTGGAGGGCTCCGGAAATTTCGACCACCTGGGGTTCTTTAACGTGCACCCAAATCTGAGCACACGGGCCTACGGCATTTTCGTCTGGATCGAAAATGCAGCCCCGAAGCCAGGAGTCGCTCCCGTGACATTGACGTCAACGGCAGAGTGCCTTAGCCACTATAGACCACCGCGAAGGGCTCGATATCAGATGCGAGGGCATTAAATTGACAAAGGGTGTCAGTATGACGCTTTAAAGGTTGTGTGCGATGCGATACCACCTCCAGGGTACCTTCCTCAAAAAGTGCAAGTGCTGAAGATGCGTCAATGTGTTTAAAGCGCATAGGAGCCAATGCAACTACGCAAGCTCAACGGGGGCCAATATTGGATGGCAGTACAGGTTACTGATCAACGGTTCACTCGCAGGTCGCGGTTTCCGCAATGTGCTTCGCCGTCCTGGCGAACGCCGGTAACATTGGAGGTGGATTTGGCGGCAGCGGCATCGGTGGTGCCGGTTTCGGCGGACACCACGGTGGCGGCAGCTTCGGTGGTCACCACGGCGGTGGTGGCTTCGGCGGAAGCCTGGGTAGTGCTGGACTTGGTGGTGGACTCAGCGGCGCTGGACTCGGAGGCGGACTCGGAGGAACGAGTTTCACCGTCCACCACGGCGGTCACGATGGAGCTGGTGCTGGCGCCGGCTACGGAAGTGGATATGGCGGTGCAGGCGGACTTGGTGGAGGATATCGCGGAGGTCTCGGCGGAGGTCTCAGCGGTGGTCTTGGCGGAGGTCTCGGTGGAGCTGGCGGCCGTGGATACTACGGAAGCGGTGGCGCAGGCGGAGTAAGTGGTTTAGATCGACATGTTCTGCCATTTCGATGCATCAAATGCTCTATAAACATCACGGCGACAACTATGGTCATTGGTCGCTATAGATTCAACGCCTGCAACATACGACAGAAGCGACTACCAGCACATTTGTCTCCACTAGGCACAAACACTGTCTTAAAGCAATTGTCAGACGTGCATCTACAACGGACAATTACTGAATGATTTCATCTTTGTCAGTGGCACGCCATGAAAAATTAGACCCTTGGCCAGATTTTTTCGTTTAAGTGTGCACGTGTAAATGGTGTGCAACTGACGTGCTGTGTGATTATTATCATATACTGATCTCATTCGGGCGTACATGCAGGCCTACAGGGGCGACTACGTCGACGAGACTCCCAAACCTTACAACTTTGGCTACGAAGCTCAGGGCCCCGACGGTTCCAGCTCGCGCCAGGAAGCGGGTGACGGTAGCGGCCGCGTTGAGGGAGTCTACACCATCAGCACGGAGGGCGGACAGAGGAAAGTCAAGTACTCTGCCGACGCCGGTGGATTCCGCGCCATCGTCGAGACCAACGAGCCCGGAACTGAGAGCAACAGCCCCGCCGACGTGAACTTCATTTCATCGCAGCCACCTGCGTCCGAGCTGGCTGCTAAGTACGGACCTACCGGACCTTCTGCCTACGGTGGAGGCCGTGGTGGATACGGTGGCGGAGCCGGTGGATACAGAGGAGGTGCTGGAGGCTACGGTGCTGGAGGATACGGTCTCGGTGGAGGTCTTGGCGGAGGTCTTGGAGCTGGCTTGGGCAAGGGAGGCTTCGGTCATGGCGTCGGAGGTGGTCTCGGAGGCCTTGGCGGTGGTGCTGGAGCTTTGGGTAGTCATCACGGCGGTGCCGGTGGTCTCGGAGGATTCGCTGGTGCCGGCGGCTACAAAGGAGGTGCTGGTGGGATCTTGGGAGGAGCCGGGGCCGCCGGGAAGTACGGCGGTGGTGCCGGCGGTGCTGGCGGTGGCTGGCAATGGTGAAAATGAAGAAGCCCGTATGTGTTTGTGCTCGACTTTGTGTGTGCGTGCATGAGGACGTGCTTGCAGTCGTCGTCAACGTTGTGTCTTTGTCCCCTTTCTGTACGTGTACTGTGCTTTGTTCGTGTGCGTGGGACCGGGTTCAGAGCTTTCGGAGAGCCCCACAAGCAGGGTGCTTCACCTCGTGGTGCATGGATAAATGTGGTGTGGCCCTTTTGTTATGTTCACCGCGTTTAGGAAATAAACGTTACTTTTTGACAAAAACATGAAATATCTTTGATTTTGCTTCTTTTATAATAATAAATTTATACGACTCACACAAAACAAGAAAGCGCAAGCTTTTCAGGGCCACAATTAGTATTGACCCGATTGACAACGGCGTCAGGAACGTCTGAAAACCGGCCGCAGCCGCTGAACGATGCACGTTATGACACTGTTAAACTACTGCATCATTGGTAAGAGGGCTTGAATAAGATAACCATGTACATGACAGGTAAGTTGAATGGGACTCGTAGAACACTGCATGAACCTGCTCCTCCTAATGGCGAGATACAACTCCTCAAGCCTGAGAGTAAGCTCAAGCCTGCTGAGCAGAACATGAAAACGATGGGAAAGGAACACAGCGCCTTCTCTCCTAAGCCTCGTTCTACGCAGTGCTTGACAACATTGTAATTGTACAGGCCCACCTAACCAACCACTCGACCTTGGTACCTCTATATCTTTCGTTGAAACGGGGATCAGCTTCCCAATGCTAGAGAAATTCGGGAATAGCGAAGGATCGGACAAATAGACAAAGCGCTGACTATGTAACACGGCCAAGTTAGTACTTCGTTGTAGTTATCAATGTGGCAGAACTGGTTTGCTCACGCCAGCCTTATATAAATCCCAATCAAAAGCGTCAGCGGTCATCGCAAGTCATTTCCATGTTATTTTTAAGGAAAAAAAATGGTTAAGTGAGAGTTTTTCAAGGCTGTCACAGTCACAGGGTATGCTTCACGATTATTCACGTATCAGTGTTTTTGAATATATTAAAGGTAAGTGAGAAGAACTAGTTAATAAGAGCCCTTATAGGGTGTAAATGACACCAGCATCCCGTCTACTTCAAAAAATTAAGAAGCAGACACACAAGGCGTTAGTCAAAATGATAGTCGCGTCATTGCGACTGAAAATCTTTGATGATGAGATTGTCAAGAATAAGACAATGCCTTCTAAAACTTCCTTTTCAAAACATACACGGGTAAGTATGAGTAAAGGCGTGGCTGACTTCTCCGAGAAAGAAAGAGAGAGAGAAAAATAAACATCTATTCTGGAAGCAGTATTACGAGCAATGCCCGCTATCCCCCTGAGGTGGGAGTTGCGGCTCCCTAATCAGGGAGTTATCTGGCTTCGACTGTTCTTTCCACCTTGGCGACCAGTTGTCGGTGGTCTTCGAGGTCCTCGAGGGTAAGCAATAGAGGAAAGCGAAATAAGACGGACATTCCGGGGAAAAAAGTCTTCAAGAAATGAAACATTCTTGAAAATTGTTTTTGGTAGGAGAAGAGGGATACAAAACGCACACGTTCACGCGCTAAGGTATGCAGTTATTGCCTTGAAGAAAACAGAAGAATTGAAGAATTTTGAAAAAAATTTCATTGCACCGCAAAAAGAGGAGGACTGCAGATTCACTTTGGCCACCTGTGGTTCCTTTAAAGGACACCTGCAATCTCTGCGCACGGGTGTTTTTGCATTCGTAACTCATGCGGCTGCAGTGTCCGGGAATCAAACCCAAGTCCTCGAGCTTCGCCGCGCGACGCCTCCAAAGCTGGAAGATATGCCACGATGCGTTGCCGCTTCATGACCATTGAAGCGGTCCACCAAGTTGACGCTCGGCTACGTGGTGTGACGGCCGGACGACCGCATCCAACCGATTTCGTCGGTGTGAGGTTCTGCGTAAGCGCGCACTCCCAAGCGGCAGGCTGTATAGACTGGCAGGAGGAAGATCGGTTGACGGTGTGTGGCTGCAAAAGCTCGGTCACAGAAGGACAGCTGACGGATGGTGCTGCACTCAAGCGACCGCAGTGAGCGCCACATATTGAAAGGTCGTTCCGCACGCATGCGCCATCGGAAGCGCTCATCGCCAGCGGGCGCTGGTATGCGTGTAGAGAAATTGTTCACGGCGTCTACAACACTCAAATGTCCCGCTAATTTTCTCTAGATCGCGCGCCGCCTAGCAATTTTCGTCAGTATCGAAAACAATGTCTGAGATGAATACGCTTGTTAGGAAGAATCAAATTATTGCTAATTACTGTGCTTTTACATGCCAGAACCACGATATGATTATGAGCCACGCAGTTTCGGTGGGTTCCGAAAAGTTCTTTAACGTGCACCTAAAGCTAAGTATTCACACACGGGCCTCAAACATTCTCGCTTCTATCGGAATCGTGACAACTGCGGCCGGCATCGAACCCACGACCCTCAGCAGCCACGCGCAGTACGCACTGTACCACCATGGCGGCGAGGGAAAGAACACACATATGTGCACCTCAACAGCTTTTTATTCAGAAAGGTACGCATTTGGACTATAGTTGGTTCATCACTATAAGCAGGAAACAGCGCTGAAAGACAGGACGAAACTAATTGTCAAAAAATTACTGCACTGAGAAATAACAAACTGCTTAGTCTTTCAGGCAGCATATACATATAATCAACCAGTTTTGCGACAGCAACAACAAAAGAATGAACCCAGGAGGCTCAGAAGCAATACTGTAATCAAGGTGACAGAAGCTGATGGTAACACCTCTTGCTGGGACAACTACTGCGCCTGACGCACACTGGTAGTTAAAGTTTCTTCTTCTAAAGGAGTGAGATTGATGGGACGCTTACAAATGCGTCACCACTGTTGCACATGTACGTAGAAGGCTTCAGACTTGAGACACGCGCACGCATCGTGATATTTTGGGAGAACAGAGGAATACTTAACATGCGGCTGGTAGCTGCATTCACTTCAACGCCGACTATCGAAAGCTAGGAGTCCCGTGATCCAAGCATAAACGAAACGTATGACGTCATACCGCAACAGTTTGAATGAAACAAAATGTTCTGCCTGTACTGCATAAGTACTGCACTTCACCTAGAGTCAACGGTTGGCCTGTTTCGCAGGGAAGCCAGTAACCTACGCTATGCCACTTCGCGGTAACCACTATTTTGATAGCATCACTACCACTATGTGTCAGAGTCAGCAGCGACGTGCTCCTTTACCAATGACGTCATACGTGACGTTTCTGCTCACGTCACGTTACTCTTAGTTACTGAGGAGCAAATAGGCTCTCCCTGTTTGAGACGCACTGGTGGGGTAGTGGGTTAGTCGTGGCAGCTTATGGAAGAGCATATAAAATATGGACGACAGGGAAGAAAAAAAAAAACTGGCAGGTTCCTCTACGCATTCGCCTAAGTAGACTTGAAGGCGAAAGTCACATGGTACACTAGGAATTGGACTATGGGCTACTGGAAAACGAAATTCATCATCTTTTCTCTGATTCTTCTTTACCCGAGTATATAGTATTAATTTAAAAATGTGTCGAAGTGAAGGTACGTGCACCTTTGCATTTGCAAAGATGCTCGAAGCGAAGTCGACTTATTGCTCAGACGAACTGTCATCACATTGCCGGAACAATGGTCTGCATATGTAAATTTCGTTGCTGGCACCAGTTGTAATACCCGCGGAGATCGATCCACGCGCTGCCGGAACTTTGTGAAGGAAAAAAGAAGGACAATTGCGTGTTGAAATTGGGGGCTTGCAGGTGGAAGTTAAACAGCGATGGTACATAAAAAAAAATGGCAGCAAATCCACGGAGTGAATGATGGAGAGTGGGGCGAAGCATTCGTCCGTCCATCCGTTCTTGCTTCCGTTCGTCCATGCGTCCATCTGTGTGACCGCCCATGCGTCCATCCGCCCATCCGTGCGTGCGTCTGTTCGTGCGCCCGTCCCTGCGTTCGTCCATGCATCCGCCTCTGCGTCCTTTCATGCGTTTATCCATGTATCTGTCTGTGTGTCTGTTCGTCCATCTATTGAACACACCAAGTACCACCATCTCGCATCTTTTCATCATATATTCCCCATATAGAAGCACCGCCATCCAGCGGACAATCCAAGGACTAAACGAGAAGTGTCACACGCACACTTCCTTACGGCTTGCGCTGCCGGTCTACTTCCAACCTTTAACCACCTCGAGTTCATGGTAAATACTAGTTCATTGTATTCATGGCACTGCGGCTCAACGCTCGCTAAACCTTTCTAAAACTAAGGAAGTTACACCCAGCGAGTATAACGTAGCAACCCTTTCTTGTGAGATAGTGCTCAATGTACAAGGCTGCTAATGGAGATTGCAGCGTGCGCGTTTACTAAAAGCCGAATGCTCCTATCTCTCATTCCCCATTAGCAGCCATGGGCATGTACATTGAACACTATTTTTTATTGTTCAACAACGCACAGAAGAAATCTCACACCAGCACCACCTTGTAAGACAAAATGTTGTACTTGTTGCATACTACACCGGCGAGGGACGAACGGGTGCCGCTTCGCCCCTAAAAAATTAATGATCAGGAGGCCTCATCTTACCGAGAAAATGTAGGCAAGGGAAGTTTTGAGTTTGCGTGCCCAACCTGCGCCTCGTCTTTTGGTCCAACTTCTTTCTTTCTTATTGGCTCAACTAACTTTCTCTTTCTTTCTTTCTTTCTTTCTTTCTTTCTTTCTTCTTTCTTTTTCTTTCTTTCTTTCTTTCTTTCTTTCTTTCTTTCTTTCTTTCTTTCTTTCTTTCTTTCTTTCTTTCTTTCTTTCTTTCTTTCTTTCTTTCTTCTTTCTTTCTTTCTTTCTTTCTTTCTTTCTTTCTTTCTTTCTTTCTTTCTTTCTTTCTTTCTTTCTTTCTTTCTTTCTTTCTTTCGCATTCTGCAATGCCCCTTCCATCCTTCCATGCCTCTAATCGGACCTTCGTTCACGTGCTTAGTAGCGCAACACTTTACTGGTAACAAGCAGCAACATCGATCGGGCGTTCATATCCAGGACAACAAAACGTGGCATTGTGATATGACAAAACCCTTGGATAGAAGATCAGATTGCCTCGCTGGAAACAGGCGATCACTGACAAACCCACGTTCTGTTAAGCATTATTTATTGAAAAACTGCGCAAACAAGTACGCTCATCACCGGGCCGCCTTTGACGGCCGCATGATTTGAGGCTCACCGACAAAAAACTTTTCCTCTATGTGAACTAGAACGCGT